TACATATTATTTAAATCTATGCCTTTAAACATGACCACAAGTAACAAGATGGACATTTGAATTCTTATGGAAAGCTAGAATGTTACTCCTATTGACCACGGGAGACTTCAAGTAATACACAAGTTTTCTCAGTACTGTGAGCAGTATAAAGCTTCAGTCAAATGCCTGGATCTTGGAATAGGCAGTTCACATTACAGTACCTGTCTGCTTTAATTCCATAAGTTAATAAACTCTTAAGCAGCTCAGTTTCAGCAGTATTCTAAAATGGATTTAGTCAAATGGAAGTTGTAGGGATAAGACCACGCCTATCACTTTCAGAACAAACCAAAGAATATAAAATGTGTCTTTACATTGCTGCTCTCCATAAAACTTCAGTCTGACCTTTTCAGCATATGGAGCAAAGAGAAAGCAAGCTAGTATTTTATGTTCACTGCAGATATATAACCTAAAAAGTTCCATACTTGCCTCAATTACACAAATTTGTGGCTCCTGTCTGTCATCATCCACCGGAACTTTTGCCTGATTCATTACCCATTCCTGAACTGCATCAGTGATGTGTGGAACAACTACAAGACAAAATCAAAGAAGGTAAGCCTAGCTTACTGTAGGTTACTTTAATTTTTGCATGCAAAGGGGGAAAAATGAACAGCAAGTCAAGAGGAAACTGCTAGGTCCTTTCTCTGTTCCTCCTTTCCTTGACCCCAGAACCCAAACGTTACAGGAATACGCCCATTTCTCTTGGAAGGGAGAAAGTAAGGTGGTGCAGCAAGGAGCAGCCTGTTCTAGCTGATCACTTCTTTTGTGAAGACTGAATGGACTAGTATCCGACAAAATTAAAAATATTACCTTGAACGGTTTTCCCCAGGTAATCACCGTGTCTTTCTTTATTAATGACATGCTGATATATCTTTCCAGTGGTGATATTGTTATCTTTATAGAGATTGATGTCCAAAAATCTCTCGTAATTTCCCAAATCCAAGTCAACTTCTCCACCATCATTCAATACAAAAACCTCACCTGAAAAAAGAAAGTGAAAACATACAGATAAACAATAAAAAAATCAGAAATTATTAAACACCCAGCAGGAATACCATGAATGTCTTAAAACAGAAGAATTTTTCTTTTAAATGACAGAACAACACATCAATAAAGCATACTGCAACCCAATCTATATTGCCATTCTGTGTGACTTAATATCCAAGTCATTAGTTTTACATCCAATGTCTGTCCCTCAGACACGTACAGTTTTGCAAATAAATAAAAGTTGTATTGCCAAAATATTTAAGTGACTTATAAATATTTAACCAGTATTTCAACAGCACTACAATCCATCATCAGAAAGAAACAATCTCCAAGAATCATAAATCAACAACAAAATATCAATTTACTTGTAGGAGACAAAACCTGTGTTTTTATAAGCAAGAATTATACACATTCAAAGTGCTTCACCATAAATTCTTGTTTTTTGGATCTATTCTAGTGATTAAGGCATGGATCAGAAGTAAAGTTACGATGAATATGTTTCTTCAAACATGATTGCTGTTTCTTATTCAGTTGTTCCATCCTGTGTATTTGGTTCACTGTGTCCACAGCGAGAGTTATTTCTGACACTGAAAAAACTAAAGTATCTTTAAGGTTCAGACTTTCCCTAGGCCTCTAAAGAGTCTCTAAATTCTGAATCTAGTCAAATTCTGAAGGAACTAAAGGTGCTATATCTTGAGGTAAGGCTGGAAAGGTCTTTAGAAAAACTGTAAAATATTTTGCCCACTGAAACAATGGCCAAGGAAGTTACAGGACTAATGCACACACCCCCCCACCCCCCAAAAAAAAAACCCAACTAACCAACCACCCATCCAAAATAAACCAAAACAACAACAAAACCCCTCAGTTCCCATGAAGGTATAACGTGGACTACAGAAATATATATTCCACCAAGGTACAACACTAGTAAAAAGCCACACAGCTGAAGGAACATTCAACATTTTAAATGCATGTCAGACTGCCTTGTAGCTCATCAGCAACACAGTCAATACAACCAAGGTAGCTTAAACAGCTAACCAACCAAACTAAGCATCTGCTTGAAAATTCTATCATTACCTGGCTCTCTAAGCTTCACTGATGTTTTTGACTAGATCTTCTCTGACTAAAATGAGAACTTAGGCTAATTCTTATGAAGGCATTTACACCAGAAGGCACTGACATCCAGAGAACAGCATTCACAAGTAACTGTTGAGGACTTAAGTTTCAAATAAGTTTTATAGCACTATTTAATTTTTTTTTAATCAAGTTGAACTGAAGATAGCATTAACTGAACAAGGCTTTCAGCTAGGATTTTCCCATTAAGGTGGTATTTTATAGAAAGAAAGCATCTGCTCATAACAGTACCTTCAACAAACAGGCTTCTGTCTCTTTACTTAGAGCAGACAATGAGCTTCAGAACATATAGTAAGCAATAAACTTGCAAAACAATTCTAAAATGACTAATAAGTACCATACTACTGGCTTTTAAAAAACAAAACCAAAACACATTATTGTGAATACATATATTCATGCAAAAGGGAGCAGCACCAGTCTTCATACCATGTTCGTATGGCGAAAAGGTTCCAGCATCTATGTTTATGTAAGGATCAATTTTGATTGCAGTGACACGTAGACCACATGATTTCAGAATGGTGCCAATGCTGCTTGCAATGATCCCTTTGCCAATGCCTGAGATGACACCACCAGTCACCAGGATGTACTTCATCGGAAAATCAGCACACACACACAAAGACCTTGACCTGGAAACCTAAAACAAAGATGTACCTATGATGAAAGAAATTTCATGTCAGGGAAGAACACAGACTCAGTCTACAAAGAATCAAAGTTGAAATGACCTATGACCATTTTGGAATCTGGGAGCAGGATTCACCTCTCCCAGCCTATACACCAATACATAAGCTAAGCATCTATGTTGTCCCAAAACAGGTTCTTTCACTACGGCGGATTGGGGAGATTGGGGGAGACCTCCAGGCCTTAAGCTGCTTGCCCCATTACCTGCGAGGTGAATGCCCTTCCCCCCACCCCTGCACGTGGCCCGTTGCGGAGCACACACAGACCACCTGGGAGGGACGGACAAAAGAGAAAGTTTATTGTGGGGTTGGGGTTTATAAGGCTTTTAGGAAGGTCAACGGGGGCCAATCACAAGTTCAGGGTCACACAAAAGAAACCATCAGGTAAGGGGTCAACAGCCAATAGGAAGGGGTTTACAAGGGACCAATGAGAAACCTCAGGACACCTTGTGTGGGAGAAAATAGCTTCACAGGGGGTGTCTGGGAGAGGGAGACAGTGACACTGCAGAAAATACACAAACATGTTGAGACATGTTCAAACTACAGTAAAAACCTCTGTTTCCATAAGGTTTGAGCTGTTTTCCTCACCAGTCCATCTCTGACAGGACTTTTTCCATACTGCATATGGCAAATTCATTGCCACATTTCACCCAGTGCACAAGAGGCTGATCCACATGCAGAGTCACTGTACTTTATTTATTTCCAGTTCTGTGCAGAAAGGGGTGCTGAGTGACAAATCCTCAAAGCCAACAAGACCATTACCAATTCACGATTTATACTTTTTAGCAAACGAAACCACTAATGTTCATTGTCTACAAGTTACATTTCTCTACCCCACCTGAAACAGGATGGTGTGTGTATCTCTTCCACAATTGAATTCATATTCCATTCAGGCAGCGGTGGAGGCTAATCACTGGAACAATTTTTGAGCAATGACAGCATGGCTCACCAAACAGCAAAAACTCTAAGGTCAGGAAAATGTTTCCTTACTTAAGGACCCAGTTCATCCAAAACAGCACAAAACCGCATGGGACTCAGTATAAATCAAAGCAGTATAGTTCTTCATCAGGTGGTAGTAAGAAGCAGTCAGTGAATAAACATTGTATTTCTTCCTTTTACTATACTGAAATAGCATAAATAAGGCCTGGATCTTCAGGAGACTGAGTTCAAGAATGTATCAATGTTTGTTATCAATCCTCTTTCATTTATGGTAATGGGAATAAATAAAGTACTATTTGCTTTTCAATATGGACAAAAGGAAGACCACAACCATTAAAAGTATTTAACTCGGGAGAAAAGGATGATCAGGAATTAACTTTCTCTTGCCATTTAATTTTAATTTGTAATTTTTCTAATAGCACAGATTTTACGATTTGGAGCCTACTACTTCTTTCACACTATTCCTTCACAACTCAGCTAATGCCCTTGTCACATTTCATGAACATCTAAGCCATTTTCAAAGCTCTTTTCAGGAAGGGGGGGATAATTTTAATAACAAGTATAAATCTTGAGTACGTGCCAATTCAGAACTCTAAAACCTTGCTTACAGGAACCAAAATTAAAAGCTCGCTGTGATTTTAGGAAAAAAATCCGCGATTTCCCAGCAGCCTCAGGAAACGCGATGTTTACTCGCAATAGAAACAGAGAACTACGCGTGGTTTCGGAAGTCACTCGTAAAAGGAGTGGGAAGTAGGGGAGGGCGAGCTGAAAGCGTACACAGTAAGAGATCATTTCGCCGGGAACTGGCACATGAGTTACTCCGTCCAGCCTTATCCCCGGGAGCCGCCGCCTCCAGCCGGGATTTGCGGGCGCTGCATCCCGGAGGAGCCGCCCCGCGCTGAGCGCTCGGGGCTCCGCGGCCGAGCGGGGAGAAGCCTCCGACTTACGTGGGTGCCACGGGCGGGTGCTCCGACCGGGGCCCGGGGGCGACGACGAGGAACCGCCGCGGGGCCGCCGGACCGCAGCGAACCGCCGGGGGAGGCGGCGGCGCCCCGGGGCAGCCGCAGGTGAAGCGCCTCCGAGCGCCGCCGGGGCGGGACGCGGCAGCGCCCAGCGCTCAGCGCCGCGGGGCTCCCGCGGGGCTCCCCGCGCGACAGCCGCGACACGCGCGACAGGTGCGGCGCGCTCCCGCCCCGCGCGCCTCCGCTCCACCCCGCCCGCTCCCGCCCCTTTCCCCGCTCCCGCTCCCGGCGGAAGTGGCGCACGCGGAAGAAGCGCGGAGCGGCCGCCCCGGTTTCCGCAGAGCAGCGCCGGGACCCCCCCCGAGCGCGACCGCCACCGCACCCAGAGATGTTGCGCGGCCTGGGCAGCTGGCTAGGGCTGGAGCGGGCCGGGGAGGAGCAGCTGCTGCCCGCCGGGAAGACGAGCAGTCCTGAGGAAGAGGAGGAGGAGGCGGGTTCGGCCGCGCAGGAGCAGGAGCAGGGGGAGCTGCAGGAGGACTCGGAGGCGCTGCTCAGCCAGGCCAAGGGGCTCGGCAGTGAGTGTCCGGTGCTGCTCTGACATGGGAACAGAGTGAACGGCTGCGAACGTGCCTTTCGGTTGCCATTTCTTTCAGAGTTGTTATTAAAGCAGCAGCGTTTCCTTAAGTATCTGTTCTGTTGGCACTGTGGGAAGCGGGCTCTGTACACATAGAATAAGTCTGTCTCTATAGAATCAATGCACTTCATGAATTGGTGTGGGGGGTTGTGGGGTTTTTTCATAAGAAAATAATGAGGTTTGATGATTTTGTTGAACTTGTCTGTCATAGAATCATAGAATGATTTGGGTTGGAAGGGACCTTAAAGATCATCTCATTCCACGCCTCTTGCCATGGGCAAGGACACCTTCCACTACATCAGGTTGCTCAAAGCCCTGTCCAGACTGGCCCTGAACACTGCCAGGGATGGGGCAAAGCTGTAATTTGCTATAAGATGCCTGCTTTACTATAGATTCATAGATAAAATTAATCCAAAGTACAGATCTATACTCGTTACTGAAGGGTTTTTTTAAATTGATGCTCTGAAATGCTGGATCAGTATAATCTGAGAGGTCAATCTGAGATGGTTCTTGACTGTGCTTTGTCTCAGGCAATCTGAACTGCAGCAGTTTTGCCTGTGGAGATTGATCAAATACTAGTCCTGTCTCATTGTGGTAAATTGATTCGAATCTGCTAATTGCTCTGGTTGTTCAGGAAGAAAAAAGTACTTTGAATTTCAGGGGAAGAATAAGTGTTGACTGTTACCAATATTAAAGTCCATCCCATAATTTGCTCTGGAAGCGAAAATCTGGTTTAGTGATCCATGGGTTCATTGTCCGTGACACCAGGGTAGGTTGTGGTAGAAAAGCTTTTTTATAAAGATTTGGACATTGCTGTTTTAAGACTCTAGAAGCATCTGCACGGCTAACAAACAGGGTAGCTATGTAGAAAAGATGGCACATAATTTCCCTGGCACATAAAGCATTTTACTGGTAAAACCAAAGCCTTACAGATGTTATTTTTTGCTCATTATTACGGCATTATAAAAGTTATGAAAGTTTTGCCAGTGTGAACTAATAATAGCATTATTGCTACATACATGTTCTTAATACAGGCATAGATTTATAAGATGGAGGGTAACTTTTTTTGTCATTTGAAAGTGGAAGTGTTGTTTTTCACCACGAATTCTATTTTTCTAAGGCTAAGTGCCACCTCATAGTGAGGTTTTAGAAGTACCTTACTTCAAAAATATCTTTGCCCTTAATGAAAATAAAAGGTATTTTGCTCTTCAGCCCGGTTCCAGGACTGGCCAGAACTACTTTGTCCAACAACACCAGAATGTCACCAGAAAGCAAATGTCTGAGCACCTTTTGCACCTAACACAATTGCATATGAGAGAGTTTTCAGGGATACATGAAACAACCAATAAAAGCTGGTATGGAGTAAGCAATCCAGTAGGCTGCTGCTTCCTCTACTCTTGTAAGGGAAATAGTGTATGTATTTATATCTAAAGTGTAGAAGTTAAGCATCTTTTTGTATGTGAAGCATGTGATGAGTTGTAAAGCCATATAACAGATATGAAAGATGCTGGCGAGTACTTCAAGGATGTTTGGTTGCCACCATTCTGTGGCCTATAAACAGAAGTTACATATAAAAACCCGGCTTGCTTAAAGGCTGGCTAGACCTCTGCATAGTTCAGTATTGATTTGGTGATATCATAGCAAAGACAATATTTTATACACCACAAAAACAGTCAGCTTTCCAAAAGGTGACATCAGTGTTCCAAAGTAACTCATTCTACCAGTGACTAACAACTGTGTGTTAAAGGAACTCACTTTTTTTTTTGCATGGTAAGACTATTTCTTACATTTCTAACCCATAAGGAAACTGGTCGTTTTGAGAGGTCTTGAGAAGGAAGGTTGTTCTGTTTCTGAAGGTTTATGAAATACATCTTGCTGCTTGCAAGTTTGTTCTTAAAAAACGATAATACAGTGCAGATGCCCACACTACATAGTTCTTTCCCTGCCACCTCTCTTCACTTCAGCTAATACAAAAAATATGAGTCTTTGGGGATATTTGTCACTGCTGTTTTGACACTGAATATATTCAGAAAAATAAGTGAATAGGGCCATGGTGCTTTCCATAGAGATAAAGAGAGGAAAACAATGCAAAATAGGTAAGGGCAAACATCAAGAGCAAGCTTGTATGTTAGGATTTCTGAAGGAATATCAAGTGTTACTTGCATGAAATTTTTCATGGATTTTCTGCTTCACTTTATGAGATTTTTATTGTGCATTTTGGTTTTCTTTTTAAAATATATATAATTATTAATATTAAATTATATATTATAAAATTATTATTATATACAATAATATATAATGTTTTAATACTGTGGCTAAGTTAATTTATTGCTTCATGTCTCTGAAATGCTGATATGAAATCAGGAAAGACCCATTGCTTCAAAAAACTCATTGGAAAACAGTATTTCAAGGACCAGTAGGAATGTTTGATTTAGTAAACAAGGTTCACGTATGACAGTTTGATTTACAGAATGTTGTGATCGAGCATAGAGTTTGATCATCATCATTAAAGAATATATACTAGAAAAGGATAAATAGAATTTTAGGAGTTCTTTGTAGGCCAGAAGCTGGGTTAAGTTATTTTGAAAGACACTTTTAAGTAGGTATGCAAATGTCTAAAGAGAAGGAAAAATAAATCTAGTAAAAGAATTGGATGTAAAGAGATCTTTTCTCAGGTCTTTCTTTTTTTCTCTGTGAAAGGTTACCTCTTCAATTTTGCCACTGCTGCTACAAAAAAGATATCCGAATCCGTTGCCGAAACAGCACAGACAATAAAGAAGTCTGTAGAAGAAGGAAAAATTGACAGTATCATTGATAAGGTATTTTATTTCTAGATACCTTTCTGAAAAATCTGTTTGCTTACTGTTGTTATAACATGTGGCAAATCTGGCATGTGATTACCTTTCTTTAAGCTGTCTTAAGATATTATGTATTTCAAGAGATACTGTGCATCTCCTGTCATGATGAATGATGTGATTGAAATGTTTAGTCATGGTAGACCTGCGAAAAAATGGTCACCCTGCTTTACTCAGTACTGCACCTGTGTTCCATTCCTTCAGGATGTTCATACGCTGGAGACACACCAAAAGAAAATATGGAAAATGCTGACTGTGCATATTCCTGCATGACATGTAGGAGGAAGGGCTGGAAGAATTTGAGACAAGCAGTTGGGGGAATGTCTGTCTAGAGATGTGTGGGCTGAGTTTTTTTCCCCCCAGTTTATTTAGTTGGAAGAAGAAATGCTGTAGCTTGCATCTTAAGTGCATCTCTGAAGCAAGAGTCAGAATTAGCTCAGTGGCTATTAAATCCTAAAACCCGAGAGCTATACAGGTACAGTTTCAGAAGAGCCAGTGAGCTCATGAAACACCTTGCTGTTGTCCTGTTCTTTTACCCCCCCTGACCCTGCCACTTATCTCTTGCCCTCTGTGTTCCTGGCTGCGAGCTCCAGTTAACTTCTGCCAGTGAGTGTTCTTCCAGTGCTTTAAGTCACAAACTTGGCAAAAGGGGAAAAAAAAGGCAATAAGTGCTATGTAGTGTTCTGTGTTTGTTACTGAGGGTAGCTTGGAAAGGGGAAGGGAAAGGGAACTGGCCAAAACCAATGCAGCTGCAGTAGGACTGTGCCTCCACGAGTGTCTGAGGGGAGATGCAGCCAGATCCCTCTTCCTGCTCCTGTCTCTGGCAGCCCTTCAGGGGAATTACAATGTTGCCTTTTTTTTTATTTTTTTAATACGATGAAATTCAATTTCTTGATGTAATTAGTGTTCATGTTGTCTTCCAAATAAATCATCAAATGACACTTCTGAATTTCTATTATGATCACATTTTGTTTTCAGATTTCGTTGACAACAGTCTACAGTAATTAGAGTCTAATGTACTTTTGATCCACATAATAAAGAAAAAATCAAGTAAGAAGGTTATCTGTTAATTTAATACTGAGTTGCTGAAGGAAAAAGAATTATAGGAATTTATCAGGATTTAGCTTGAAGACTTGTGTACTTTTTGGGAGCTTTTTAAGCCATAGATCTCACTGCATAAAATTTGTATTTTGTGAGTGGTTTAAATATTCGTTTCTAGCTTTATGGTTTTTTGCCTCTGCTTTCAACTACAGCACATTTGCATTGTTACTTCTGGATTATGGCATGCCATATTCCGAGACCATTCTCCAATTTTTAATTCTAAATTCAATATAGGATATTTCTGAATGTAATTTTTTTAATGAAAATTCGTCAACAACATAAATGGAGAAGTTATTTCAGCTAAGAAGACATTCTGAAAATTCTGCTTTACGATTTTGCAAGTCCAATTTACTGCAATGGATGTATTTCTTAGGCAACTCTTGAAACTTACTGTAAGGCCAAGGGTATCTTTAGGTGCTTAATGCTTTAAAACATGCTTAAATAAGTCTAAACAGTCTGTCTTGTCCATATTTGATATGATAAGGCAGTAAGTGGATATGCATAGTATGCCAGTGTTCAAATTATCAGCTAGTCTTTTTTCCTTGTCCTCCTAATTTGATAAAACGATAATTTTGAAAGCATACACAATAGTTATAACTTCTTAAATGCAAAATCAAATGTTTCGGTAAAGGGAAATGTATGATTGACATGAAAGACCTTCAACTTACAAAAAGGGCTACCACAGATATAAGAATATGGTTCTGCACTGTATTTGAAAACACTTGCTGAGTGAATGTGAAACAAGGGGAGTGAATTTTTTTTTAATTGTGGTTCCCTAATTTTTTTTAGACAATTATTGGAGATTTTCAGAAGGAACAGAAAAAATTTGTCCAAGAGCAGCAAACCAAAAAATCAGGTAATGTATGCTTTTTTTTCTTAGTGCCTAACATCACATAAGTGAAAACCTGGTGGAAGCTGTGTAGTTGAGGTACATCTAAAACTAATCTATCAAAGCTCTGTTTAATGAAACACGTTATGGCACAACTTAATGCATATTGTGCAATAGGAAGATGATATTTTTAAGTGAGGTTAGTAGTACATTATCTTGCTTTTTTAACCAAATTCAGCTTTATGAAATTACCTCAAAGATCACTGTGCTAATGCAGAGCTGATCTCTTGCTGCTGTTTTGAGTCTTAAACCTGTGTATTTATTGAAAACTGGCATGCTGATTTCTTCTGAGCTTTAGCAATAATGTCACATTTTCATAATGAAATTAAAAACATAGGTTAGGGTTTGCACTATAGTATTTAATTAGTTTTGCTTTAGGAGTTACTCTGCTTGCATTAAAGACATAATTGCTCTTTTGCTTTCCCATAAATCATTTGCTCTGTAATTATCTGTGATCCAAATTCTTTAAGTTATCCACCCATATACTATTAACATCAGTGGATCTATTCAAGACTTTAAAATAAGCACACTTGTTTTTTCACATTGAGTTTCATCATTGGCTTTTATCTATTTTAATGTCTTACCTGATTGCGGTAATTTCTGACAGTTTCAGTAATTAGTGACTCTATTGTTAATCTTTAAAATGAGCTGTTTTAAATGGATTGTGATAAAATTTTTCGTGGTGTTTATAGTTAGTATGTTAGTCTGGTTTCTTCTTGCAAGATTGCTTATGTGATCTTGTTGTCTGTAATTCTTTTTGTCTCTGTTAGTAAACTTTGGCATCTCTTAATATATTTCTACAAGCTTTATGAAAATAGGTAGTTAGATTGGCCAAAGGAGGAGTAACAGATGACCTGACTGCAAGAAGCATTAGCATCAGAAGGGAATACATGTGGGTGAAAGATCTTGCTGATATCAGGTGCACAGGCAAAGAAACATTGTTAGTTAAGGGCACAAGAGTAATAAGTTAACTGTTACAGGTGCATCCTGTTGTCTCTGTAGGCTGAATTTGCATTGACAGTGAAAAGATGAATAAATATCTATACATCTACAATAGTTTATTTTCCTCTCTATACAGCCTATAGAACTATTTTGGAAGTATCTACCTAAATATGTAAATCAGCTGAACTCGAGTGGGCTTATTCAGTGTATAACATGATGTAATTTATAACAAATTTATAATCTTTTTCTCCATTGTTAAAGAATTGGTGTCTTCTGCGTGTAAATTATTTTGCAAACTTAATTTAGACAAAGTTTACACATTCAGAGTGAATCAAGAAATGCTATTTGCAGACAACTTAGCCGGTCATACAGCACTACTTCAGTAACTAAACTAAGAGGCACCAAGTTCTGACTGGTGCAAAGAAATCCCCACAGTTTTATTTTTACAACAACAGAAATCAGCAACTATTTAATTATTATTTTTTACCTCTGATAAGTAAGGATCCATTTCTACAGCTTCTCTCTCAAGCTATAAACTTAATTTAAGAAAAAGGAACTATGAATAGGACTAATGGTATAACTCTGCTTATTTTTATGACACTATATGTTACTTTATGTAAGGTCTGTTTTGTTGTTTGGGGGGGGGTTTTTCAAGTAATACTCATGGAATTATCTTCCTCCTCTCAATAACAGAAGCCGCAGTGCCTCCCTGGGTAGACAGCAATGAAGAAGAAACAATTCAACAACAAATATTGGCCTTATCAGCAGTAAGTATTTAATTTCCTGTAAGATTTGAAATCCTCTCTTCGAGAGATTAAAGCTTCTCTTTTTTTTTTTTTAAGTGAGTTTGGTTGGCATTAAATTATGTATTTTCAATATACTTCTAATATATGTGTGTGACTGTGCTGATCATGTGCAATAGTAAATAGTTCTATCAGTTTCAACTTGAGCCACAGCAGATCCTCGGTATAATTTTTATTTTTGTAAAGGTTTCACGTACTGCTTTTCTGATCTTGCATGTGAAATACGGTGTCCTTTGTCCGATATCAGTTAATGACCATAAATACGTTCTTCAAAGGACAAACGGAACTTTCTGCGGGATCCCCCAGCAGGTGTGCAGTTTAATTTTGACTTTGATCAAATGTACCCTGTTGCACTGGTGATGTTACAAGAAGATGAACTTCTCAATAGGATGAGGTTTGATCTCGTTCCCAAACAGTAAGTAATTTCTGCTGGTAACTATGTATCATCGTACTTTTAATGTTTCTGTAAATACCCATAAATTACTCTTTGTTCTTTTCACTTCCTTCAATTCTTTGTGTTCTTCCGATGTATGTTTTTTATCTGCTAATGTCAAATGTGTGGAATACTGCATGTGCATGGAAGTTTAGCAGTTGGAGGAAAGAACAGAAGTACATCTATTACACCTTCAGTAAGAACCAGTAAGGACCTGTTAACTTAAGTATGGGAAAGGCCTTCAATTTTTCCATGTCCGATGTGCTAAATTAAAATTATTTTTTTCCCCCAAACAAAGGTAAATGCAACAACAAAAATGTTCAGATCTGTTGGTGTAACTGACACCCCAAAAAGGTGGTTACAGATAGTCAGAGACCCCACTGGAGAAATGGTAAAAGAATATTTCACAAAGCAGCAGCAGTGCAAGCAAGAAAAGCTGGGTTCGAATAGGCAATGGGAAAAGCTCTGCGTTGAACTGCCTTCCTTCTAGTGGACCTAACTAAAAGATCCAAAGGTCTTTGTCCGAGCAGTTACGGCCTTCTTGGTCACAGCTTTATTCCCTAACTGTTCTTCCTTGTCCAGTCCCAGACTCTGCTCCTAAAGCTCGTTTCAAAAGTCAACATTATTTTGAAGTGGGAGTTCTCAACACTAGTCTCCTTGTCTAAGGATGAAAACAGAAAACATCTTTCTTTGTGACCTTTTCTGTTTTAAATTTCCACCTTTTATAAACCACCCTAGCTCCGCCTTCTATTTACCTTTTCCCTGCTTTCAGTCCTGAAGATCTGCCCATATTCTAGATGTTCATCAGATCTGTCTCTGATGCTCTGTCTCCAGCCTCTAGTCATGCTGTCCTTGCCTGTTCTACCACATTGCTTAATAGTTTTTTCCCCCCTGTTCTTAGTCTCAGTGGTCATTTCTCTTCCTCTCTCTCTTCCTCTCTCTCTTCCTCTCTCTCTTCCTCTCTCTCTTCCTCTCTCTCTTCCTCTCTCTCTTCCTCTCTCTCTTCCTCTCTCTCTTCCTCTCTCTCTTCCTCTCTCTCTTCCTCTCTCTCTTCCTCTCTTAACCTACATACTTTCCTCCCCACAGGTCATACCATTTCTACCTTTTCTTGCCTCTGGGTTAAAGCTGGGTCTTTTCTTTCTTGCTGGAGGGATTTCAGAGGGAAATATTACCTGAAATATGGGATAGTTTCCCACTTATCAAAGCTGGTCATTTCTGGGATGTCAGTTTCTAGTTACTAAAGGTTGCTGAAAGACTTACAGCTAAGTGAAATAGTTCTGCTATCAAAGGTGTTCCAGTTCCACCTGATGTCTAGGGAAGATGTAGATGAATATAGTTTGACAACAACAGAATGTTGAGTTTAGAGAGGAAATAAAGAGAACAGGGTTGTTTGGCTTGTTGGGTTAGTTTACATAATTTGTCAAGAGAGATGGAATAGCACAACATTTTTCCATACTATGTGTTGCTGCATGCTGTTAAGTTTTTTCTACAGTTGTAACATTATTATTATATGTTCAAGTCCGTTGCAACTCCCTTGTAAGGGATCAAGAAATTCTACAATGATGGATTTTTTAAAATGTGTTAATATCACAAATTCCTTTTTTAAGTTTTTACTTAAATAGCAGCTATGTCTACTCCTTCTCTCTGCATATTTCGTTTTATTTCACTGCTAGATGGTAAAAGGAAACATATTTCCAAGTGTAGTAATCAAAATCTATTTCTTCTCTCTAGCGTAAAGGAGGAGGTGTTTTGGAGAAATTATTTCTACAGGGTGTCCTTAATTAAACAGTCTGCACAACTCACTGCACTTGCAGCTCAACAGCAAGCAGTAGGAAAAGAAGAGAGCAAAGGCAGAGAAGAGGATAGTGAACTGAAAGGTACTGGAAACATTTGTTTTAGCAAGCTCATTAACTTACTGTCATGCATGCTCACTGAATACATCAGATGCCATCAAATTTTTATCCTGGATTTCCTATTAAATCAGGGCTTCTCTCACCGTACTTGGTGTGTTTGTGTAGCATGGGGAAGAAGAGGCTCCTAGTGCTTTCAGGCTGTTTTCCAGCTTCAGCTAACTGTGTCAGAGGAATGGAAATCTCAAGAGGAGAAACGCTGTACTTGGCTTATAACAGCTCATGACCACTAGTGGTCTCAGGTGTGCTTTTTTTGACTTGATTCACTTGGTCAGACAACTAGCCAACCCAACCAGCTGGCATATAGTTTGCTCTTGGCTTTTGCTTATCCCTCAGACCAAACAAATGAGCGAGCGATACAGAGGTAGAATTTCGGTGGTAGTGGAGGCAGAGACGTGCAGGGTGTGGAAAGGCCCACAATGTATTATAGAAATGGGAAAAAATGGGGACCAGGAGGTTACCTGGGATTCAGTCTTGAGATGAAAAAGCCACTTCAACATAGATGTCTTTAGTTACATTGCTCATTTTATACTGATGATTCTTACTGACCCTCTTATGAACCACTGTGCCTCTTTATCTGCATGCAAACAAGTTCTGCGAGCAGGAATATAAGCAGCTTAAAGAGTAGAACAGTTAGTGGCAAAGATGCAAAAAATAACCAGTAGTTCATCAAATCTTAGCTTAAGTTAAGGTGGGCTCACCACCTCTGGTAAGACACTTGAAGATTCTTGGCAGGCTGGGCAGAAACTGGGCAGGAGAAAGCTTTTGCTGCACCCTGGAACAGATTCTCATATCCCCAATATGAATAAATTGTTGTCATCCATGAAATCCATTAATACACATGTCCTGTCATGTGGACATGCTGGCCTGACTGACAGCCAGCTGATCACTGCCAAGTTGACTTCTTTTTCACCCCTTTCAAATACAATAGCTTTCTTAGTATTTTTCCTCTTGAGTCCTTGCACTGCCAATGGTCCCATCTTTCTACTCCTACCTCAGTTTCTAATGTCTCCTTCCTTATTTTTTTTACAGGCTTTCTCACAGGTCTTTTGCATAGCTTACTAATTTTTTGCATTGTTTGAGCTAGGATTAGTCAGCTGGGCCTTGACTTCTTGGACACTGGCAGCTGCACCTTGGGATGAAGGGGAGGTTACAAATGGAATTTCAGAGCTGGTCTTGTATATTGCATGGAAGATACCTTTTTGAAAAGGACTGTAGTGGCTTCCTCAAGCTTTTGTGTGCGTGTGTGCGCCTTTGTTGTCAGTTTTTCTCATTCTGTTTCTCATAGGTTCTGTTTGGAGTGTGCCTGTGTCAGCCTAGGCAAGGTCCCCATCTAGAGTGAAAAAAGTAATTTTCTCTGAGTTATTATCCAAGAGCACTGACAAGACAGGCTATTCCAGCATCTACTGCAAACCAAGAGGCACCAATTCCCACTTCTTTTATTCAGGACAGTGGTCTGCTGTCCAAAGCTATGGGTGTTTTAATTGAAGTGTCTCAATTCTACAGGAGAGATGGCATCTGACCCTGTTGAACAACAAAAATGTAATGTTTGAGTCATCCAAACCCTTAGAAATTGCCAGTCAAAGTGAAAGTTGCTAGATTCTAGTAAAATTTCCATTGTGACTGAACCAAAACATATCTTCAGTTTAAAAAAACCCAAACCACTGTCTTTTGGCCTGTTGTGGCTCTCATACAGTTTAGACCACCATACAGTGTAGGACATGAAAATAGATTTACTGTCATAATGACTCTACATTCTGTAATGGAAAAGATACATATACTAGACTGCAGTAAATACATGTTTTGTTTCATTCAGAAATTGCATAGATTTGGGAAGCTCTGAATCATCCATGTTATTTTTGGCTTAAGTAACCTTTTTGAAGGTTGGATTCCCTAATCAGAGCCTAAAACTGGAAGTAATTGCCTGTTGGTAATTCTTCGTGATGTTCAGTGTTTCTTCTTAAAGCTGACTGTCTATAAAATAGAATTGTTAGCCTTCCATTTTTATGTCTCTCTGTCTCCTCCTTGGCTGCTCTTTTCAGAAAGTTAAATTGGCATGGTTGATGTGAAAGGAAAAAAGGAGATACAAATGGAAGATGTTCCACATTCTAGTGTAAGAGAGAGGATGGGACAGAGCAGTGGGCATTGAGTAGATAAGCTGTAAAAGCAGTGATAGCTACCAATTAGGAAATTATTTTAATTAAAACTGATCTTAATTTTAAAAACTAAACATAAAGAAATTCCCTGTTCTGAAATTGCTGAGTTAGCAGGAGGGGTCCACCTGGGCACACGGCAGGAAGCAGAGCTGTGAGCTCAGAGCTGCTTTGCATATTTAAACAAGCAGAACTGCTAAGCAAGCAGCCCATTGCTACCATAACTTGCCCTGTATGTTAATTGTTCTTGCAGCCGCCTGGCTCTGTTTTGTAACTCTACCCTGATAGTTGCACAAGGAAGAAAGTTGGGGTGTTCCTTTACCTGCCAGGAAGATATATCCTTGCTTGTGAACAGCTGTCGTCTTCTAGCACCATGCTACTAAATACAGAATGCACAGCAAATTTTCTTAGGAAATTTGAACCAGCTTCTATGGTTTATGTTTTTCAATTACTTCCTTTGCCATGTCAGTAGTAGTAGTACCCAGCCAGGGGAGTTTGGGAACTTCTGTGGTAGACATTAACTAAATTTCATGACCAAGTCTACTTATTTGTAACTTGAAAGATCTTGTGGCATGTGGTGCCATCTGTAAGTGTTTTATAGAAGACATTGTCTCAGATTCCCAATTGCTCCTATCTGCATGGTTTTTTGGATCCTTTTGAGTGTCAGAGGTGTTCCTGTCTTTTAACTTTGGAGTCATATTGAGGAAATGGTTTGCTAAATTTGCCTTAATTAAGAATAGTAAATTGCTTCTCTTCCATTTTGTTGTTTGAAATGCTTCACCTATGGTTGAATTCAGCCTTTAACCATCAGGATTCCTCAAATCTTAAAATGGAATAGTTCCCTGTATATTTAATAGACATACAGATTAAATGATATTTTTACATATTTAAATGTAATCTACCTTTTTTTCTCTCCCCCTTGATAGAAACAGTACGACCGAAAACACCACCTGTTACAATAAAGCCTCAAATAAAATCTCAAGAGGTAAAAATGCTGGTATATTTTATCTGGTATTTAATATGTGAAGCTGTTCCTTAGTAGGTAATTATGCATCCTTTTGAGTAAGTTTTGCTGTGAAACCATAATAATATAGTATCTGACAGTCCTAACCTGCTGCTCTTTTGCTGTGATGATAATTTTTAGCGTATAATCTTGAAACTGATTTTCATTAGAAGAAACAGTAATTTATCTGAAGAATGCTTTCATTAGTATCTTGCATGTTATAATAAGATATGTTTTTCCTCCCAAGAGTGACATTTCCAAAATGTTTGGAGTAGAAGGTTAGCATTGTATTTAGACATGAGGAGTACCTTCATAAAAATGTGCTTATGTGCCATGTTCTGTCCAGCTCTTCAGCGGTGGTCAGGCTGGAGTATAGGAAATCTAAATGATGCATTGCAATAGCAACATTGTTTTATTGCACTTTTACTTGATACTGCAGAAACCTGTACCATAGGCATGTAATGACCCTTGTTCATTTCTGGATTGTAAAATCGGTGCCAGAGAAGACTCTTGGCAGAAGCAGAGCTGTGCATTCATTTGCCAATAATATGCAGGGGACTAAATTAAGCTACAAAGATTTCAAAGAACAGTCCTCTCTTAATCTTATTCCTGTGTAGAAAACTGTTACTGAATTGTGGTCAAATTTTTAGTGTTAATCTTAGGTCCTGTTGTAAACTGCTTAGGAGTTTATTATTGTTTCTGAAGATTACCAAAACAGAATTAAAGTTGTTAAGCGAACACAAAAAGGCAGCCTAGGATGCAAAGCAGATCATTTTCAGTACAACTATCTAACGTTTTTGTCTGTGCAAAAATACTCTTAAAGAAAAGTATCCCATAAAGAAAAATAGTTGTCAGAAAAACGCATTTGGTTTGTTTTTTGCTGACTCTATTTAAAAGCAGTCACATGAGTGGAAATATGTGTTGGTGACATTTCTTCCCCTGTCTGGATAAGTTTATACTAAACTGTCTTGCTGCAGGATGAGGAAGAGATTTCCACAAGTCCAGGAGTATCAGAATTTGTGAGTGATGCTTTTGATACCTGTAATCTGAATCAAGAAGACCTAAGAAAAGAAATGGAACAACTAGTGCTAGACAAAAAGAAAGAAGAGACTTCAGTAGTAGAAGGTAAAGCTATTATTACCTCTGTGTCTTAAGTAGAGCAATTCTAGGAAAGGCTGATTTAAAAAAAAAAAAGTTGTAATTCAATTTAGAGAAGTAGATTTGTGACAGTTTTTTCAAACTGTATGAAATGAGAATTTAGCAAATTTTTCAAAGTGTATACAATGAGAGATTGCAGAAATTAATTCTAATTTTCACCACAATCAAACCACGTCTTACAGAGAATGTTAGCTATGAGGGGTTTAAATCCAAAGCACCTAAGAAATTTTAGGTCACTCTTCCATGAAAGTTAGTATGGGGCATTTTTTCCTGTGTATCTCCTTTCCCTGCCTTCTCTTTCATTGGTTCTTACGTGTACAGTTTTTTGTTTCCTTTAAATTCACATCCTTGTAGGTACAGTACAGTATTTGGTAGTCAGGCTCTGTTTTCTTCTTGTGGCACCAGCTAAAAAGGCAGTATTTGCACCAGACTATGAGCTTGCAGAGGCCTCTGCTCTAAAAGGTTTAGAGGCATTTGGAACACTTAAAATTTAACAAATAGTTCTGAGAATGATAAGAAGAAATTAGGTGGAGCTCATACTTAAAATAATTCAGAAGAACTAATATTAGTGTAAAGAGCATAAAAAACAGTCTGTGATGATCGAACTCTGGCCATACACAATGAACAATTTACTATGAAGATGCTTGTATATGTAGATGCTTAAGAGGTAATTCACCACAGTTTTCAGAATTCATCTTACAGTGTGCTTTGGATGTTTCTGAATCATTGTTTTCTGAATTCTTTTTTTCCAATACGTAGCCAAGTTTGAGGAATTGTTATGAGTAAAATCAGATTCTTGCATCTATTTCTTTGATGAAAGTGTTTCAGTAAGTTATTAATTTGTTATTTGTTCAGAGAAATCTCAGCTGGCCTTACTGACTTGGACTATGGAATTGCGTACCTTTGTATCTAGGCTGAAGTACTAACCAACATCAAACACCCATCTCCTCCCCCACACTGTTGCCTATGATAGGTAGAGCTAATTAAAACAGAGATTAATAACACTGTAATGCCTTCTGACTCATTTTTTGCCCTGAAGTATGAAATATGATTACCTTTAACCCTGATTAAATGAGCTTGCCTAGCTACAAATGCCAGTGAGGAGAATACCTGCTTCTTTGTTTTAAATTAGGCACAGCATTTGATCCTATTTTTTTTTCATAACAGTATATAAACGCATTTATGAACTTCATATTTTATGGAGATTGAAAAGTGTAAACTTGATTCAGTTGATAGCAGACTGAAAGACTGTAGGAAATGATGTTGCAAAGGGATGCTTATAACAACTTAGCTATGTATTTGCTTTTTAGATCTTTATTATAGTATGCACATAGGAATATAGACTTATATATTACTTAATTCCTACTTGTGATCAATAAGAAGGTGAAATTTCTGATCTTGAAGTTTCTTTAGTTTTTAAGGAGAATTGTCAGTAAAGTTCAGGAAATACAAGAGAGGTGCACTGCAAATTCATCTGCTTTTATAATAATAAGCAACATTATACATTATCAATTAAATTCTTACACATTATTTATCTCTTGTAGAAGAAACTGCTGATTGGGAAAAGGAATTACAACAAGAGCTTCAGGAGTATGAGGTGGTGACAGAATCGGAAAAGCGTGATGAAAACTGGGATAAAGAAATAGAAGAAATGCTGCAAGAAGAAAATTAAACATTTTCACAAAATTACTATAACCCAAAGCTTTTTCTGAAGACTGACATGGATTTCTGCTTTCATATTTTGCTTACAGAAATATCTTCAAAAGACATAAAAGAATCTAAAATCATTATAATTCCATATGGGAATACAACTAGTATTTCTGTTCTTTATATGAGCAGTTTCTGAACTTCTATATTCTTCAAAAGAAAAAAAGAGGAGGCAGACACTGCAAGTTATATGCCATAATTAAAAGTGATAACATTAATACATGAAGCAACAGTTCATGTTTTTAGATGGTCAAGAAGCTCTTCAAAGAGATTTCTAAATATAAGAATCAAATTTTTTTTTTGTCTACAGCCTTCTGTTTAGGATGTAAAAATGGGTGTTGTAAGTAACTTAGTCCTTGAAAACAATTCTCTCTTGACATTTGCACTCTGGTCCCTGTATAATCTGTAAATGTGTACTATTTTTGAGGTACTTGTAGCTGGTAGCTTTCATGTGTATTTAACTTCCTTAATGTATGTAGCCAATCAATTTGTAGAAAACTCTATTGAATAACTTTCAATGATTTGTTAAAAAATACTAATGCAGACTCCAAAAGAAACTGATTATTTTTCAGTCAGGTGGCAAACATTTAAGCATTTAAATAAGGATAGAATTATTAACAGCTTGAATTAAATTTGTTTTTGTTAAATCATCATATTAAGATATTGCCTTTCCCCACAGAGAGAAATAGTTTAATGCATTCTCTCTGCAGAAGGCTGTTATGTTTCCATTTAATTTTGCTGTCTGAGCTGAGAGCAAATTAAATGTTCCTCTTTAAGTGCTGAAACATTTATGTAAAAACTTTTGCTGGTTTGGACACCTTTATTAAATACTGTAGATATGTATAAAACTGTCTCTTTTATTTGGAAGGAGGGCAGAGTGAGAGGCAAGCATACTTCAGACTTACACAGATTTCAAAAATATACATTGTCACAGTGCTTAAGACGTGGAATTTAAATTAAAAAATAGGGGGTTTTCTCTAAAAGATTTTTGATTCTTCATAGGCATCTAGATGTTTCCTGTAGTTTTACCATTAAGTCAGTATCCTCATATATATAAATGAAAATTTGATGTTCTATTTGTCATCTATTTCATAAACTTCTGTGACAAAACATTCATGAAATTCCAAATACAAAGGAAAATGGGTAAAATTAAGTAGGTTGGAGCCATTAAGCACAATTGAATTATAGCCATGTTACATACAGTAAGCTCTGTCTTAATGACATAATTCTGCAGAAAACTTTTGTAAAGAGACTGAAAAAGATTATAGCTGTAATTACTCAGTCAATATTCATCCCGTGGGAATTGAAAAGAGCTAAGTAGTTTTAACTGCTGTTACCGCAAGAAAGGTCTATTTAAAATTGTCTCCATTAGCAACTTGGACAGAAAGCTCTCCTGTATTTCTCAGTATACAAAAGGAATTGTTTTAAACCTGCATATATTTGGCTTCTCAAATTAGTTTATTGCCATGCACTTTCTCAACTACAAACCATTTTATGCAGAATTTGTATTTTTATAGTGGTTTTCACTTAGTAAACAGATGTGAGATACATCATGGTAAATAAGAGGTACTTAAGAAGCTTTTTATATCTAGGATTAATTAAAGACCACAAAAGTTAAATATGTTACACTCATAAAAATGAGACTATTCACAGCTTAATGGTTACTCTTGACAAATTCAACTGCTTATAGATTTAAGCTGGAGATATTAGGATCTGTCTACTGTACAGTTTGACACAACACCTTCTAAAATGATGGGCAGTTCTATTCTGAGAGTGGCAAGTCTTCCCTAGATGACTAAGAGTTCAAAATCTCCAAATGCCAATCTTCAGTGCTCCAAATGTCCGCTTTCTTAAAAATAAGCCTGATCATTCCTAGTGTTTTCAGATATATTATTACCTTATTTGCATGGAGTTTATACATGAAGTCTCATGTTTGATTTCATGTAAGCATAACCTATATAGTGGTTTCATCTCTCATGAAAGATGGTTCCTACATATAAAACCTTTGTTTTCCAAGTTCCACTATTTGAATTTACATTTAAACAGGCAATAATGTAGCAAGGCTGAATCTGACTAGAACTCTGATATTTAAAGTCTCTTATCAAATATCATATTAATGTTTTCCAATATGCATATCTGGTTTTAACCTGTAAAACTGAAGTAAATTTTGTGTAATTCTGCAGTTTTCAGGCCTGCCCTATGCTTTTCATTTAGGCAGGTGCTACAAGTGCCTAGCAGTTCTTATTCTACGTGGAAAGAAGGATAGTGTCTGCATTCCACTTGTCACGTGAGATGAACACAGGTAGACTTCTTCACGTTCTTTGTCAATATTGTATGTCTCTGTAGCCCAAATGTGTCATAATACTATATATACATGTATATATATAAGCAAGTGTGCTGGTGTTTTCTTAATAGCATCATTCCAAGGACTGGGATGGTGCAGATGCTAAAATCCAGCAACACAACAGTAGGAAATCAATGACAAAATGAAAAGAAACCAAGAATAAATGTAAATCACGTCATCCTGTGGATACAATGTGACAGAAAGTGCAGTTGTTTAAAACATTGAGGAGAAGCAAACAAACAATCAAAAAGATTGTTAACGAGTTTTCTTGGAGGAAGCTGAACTTGCAAATTTTGGAATTAACCTTTTAGAAACAGAGAAAAGATTACCCAGAAATCATGCAGGTTAGCTTAGAATGGTGATACAGCTTTCTCCTGAGATGCCAACATCTCCAGATCTTCTGTGCACTGAAAAATCCTCTTCAGCTATTAAATTACTAGTCCAGTTGGCTTAAGTTAATACCTATATGGAATTTTTTTATTTAGTAATTTTTTCGAGGATGAGGAAGAGGAAAGATTGTAAAATCCTGGAATAAGAAAAGTGTAGTGAAAAGTTCCCTTACATTTCTATTCAATCACTTAACAGTTGTTCTCTTTTCACAGTTAACCTGCATTGTTTTAGTAAACTTTGGATTTTTTTAGTTTGTTTCTTCAGTATTTTTTTCCCTCCTTGCAGTTTGGTGATCTTGGTGTTTGCTTGGTGGGATGGTGTATGTAGTACTGTAGCGCAGGATGTCGATTTTAACCTCATGCATTTAAAGAATAACCCTATGTGCAGGAGCCTGTCACCAGACTGTGAGATGCACCCTTGAACTGTCGGCCCCTCACACATTATTGACCTTTACTTTGCAATAGCTATTTCATAGAAAGGAACAAAGTGTGTCTGGTTACTCCTCAGTGCACTGCCAAGCAGTAGCAGCCACACTGGGCCCTCGGTCCATGGGCTGTGTCTGGAGTGTTGTTGTACTGTTCCAGTGTGAAGAACCACCTTGATAATGGTCTGGGTTTCAATACAGCAGAAGTTTAGAAGATTAATTGTCTGGCCTGATACTCTGTCTCAGTAAGTGCTGACTGATATATCTGTAACAACAGTGCAGTAGCCTAGCCCTAAATACTGTTACCCATTAGTAGATTTTTCTTCCAAATACTCATTTTCAATGCTATTTTTCCTTTGTTTGAAACATTTGGGGTCTCTCGGGGGGTGGGGTGGGGTGATTGTTAGATCATCATTCCAGTTTTTTTAAACAATATGGCAAGTAACAGTCAATTAATGTCTTGCTATATTTTCTTCGTATATATTAAAGTTAACTATTGGAGAAAACAATTTCTGCAAAAACATCAGAAGACACGCATGGCTTCATTTTATTCTCAGTATAGCCCAGTATTTTATATATATACATATATATGTATATAAAGAGGATGTATATATATGCAAACCCACATTTATTAATGTGTCTAAATATATTTAAAAATATAAATGATAACGTACTTTTCCTGTTCAGCTGTTACTTTTACGTAGATACCATTGTGAGACAAGGAGCAACCAAAATAATTAGCATTAGTTTGTCACACTATCATTTTTAATGAGACAGCACTGTAGAAATTATCTGTAAAAATGGAATCACTTGCTTTGTTCCCTAAAAGCCTGGTTTTCATTATGGCACAGGTTAGAGATGTTTGTTTTTTCCTTTGCTAGTTCAGGAATTCATGAATCTATGACAAACCTCTGCAGCTAAACTTGGAAGGTATACTTAATTCAAAACTACATGGGCAGATAGGTTATTTCATCTCTGTGATTTTGGCAAAGTAGGGAAAGACAGAAGAAAAATGCATTTAGTTCAGGGTAATATATAAAATTAGAAGAATAAAGATTGATGCATGCTTTGATACATGATACTCTAAAGAAAACCATGCTTAGTGTGGAGTTTTTTTACTTGTATGCATGCACAAAACTTTAATTATGCGGTTGCTTTTATTTATTTGTTCTCTTGACTATGGTTTCCATAGAGCGGAAGTGTGAAGGTTTCAGAGCCAGATAAAACCACTGCTTTTCTGCATTTCCTCTCTTTCCCAAGGAGAAACGAGCCCCATTTACCTCACAATCAAATAATGGCCAGAGAATGAATTGATTATACCCAGCTTCTTGTCCCACTTACTTCAGAAATGTTTTAATGATGGCCTTATGCCCATTCATGACTTTGATGCCTGCAATTTAAACATCAAACAGTTTTGGATGAGCTGTATCATCACTGCCTTTCATCCTGTATCATGTGTAACAAGACTTTCAGGACCATCGTGTTGGGTGGATGAAAGGTGCTGCTCTAAGAGTGATACTAGGAGAAAAGGATAGGATATTTTAATATCATATTTTAAGGGGGGCATTTTTCCATATACCACAAAATTTGTGGCAACTTTCCTTAGAGCTCATTCACATTTGGAGTTTGTTTTCTGGGAGGGATGTGTGACATGCATGATGCATGTAAGAGAAAGCACCACCCAGCTGACACATCTTGGTTTCATTACTCCTCATCCCATTCCACATGTACCCTGGCATCTTGTTTGGTTTTATTTATAGCTACATGGTATGTTCAGCCAAGCACATGTTTTCAGTATTGTCCACATTGGGCTCCAGGCAATTTCCCTAGTAGCCATCATTGAATTTTAGAATCCTGTGAAGTAGAAGAGTGGTGATTTGAGTTGGATCTTTGGTTTGTTTGCTTTTTCTGTTCCTGCCTTCATTTTAATTTTTGATTAGTCATTCTGTGAGAAGTTCCATTGGAAGAATTACTGTTCCTACTCAATGTCATGGTTTCACCAGGAGGGAAGTGTTCCAATTCTGGTAGTCCAGAGCTTCTTCAAACTTTCAGTAAAAGCAATTATCATAATAAGCATGGGAAAAGGACAATTTGTTACTGCATTTCAGTAGTTCCTTGACTGCATGGCATGTAAGAAAAGAAATAGTATCTTTATTTCACAGTTACTCAATTGTCATTGTTTAGAAGTTTGAGCATCTAGTTCTAGTTTTCACCTTACTAATTTGATTAAAACATAATGAAGGAACTCATTTTTCACCCAGTTGCCTGGGAGTTGTCGTCCACCCCCCCAGTGAGGGTGGTGAAGTATCCAAGAGAGGTGTCAGACTGGCTAACACATGTACAGCGTTCATGAAGTCAGACTACTCTTGAGTATGGTGATAACCACGTAACCTGGATGTAGTTCATAAAAATAAACTACCCAAAAAATTTGTAAAAAGTTGATGACTAAAGATTTTTACTAAGGGATACTTAGCTCTATCTTAAATAATAATTAAAAAGAGCTTATTTTCCTAAAATTTCAGCTTCTTGTCTGTCAAAACATGAGACCACTCCGCCTTCTTGGCAATGGCCAGTTGGGTGGAACACCTACTTGGCAGCTCCTAGTGTGTAGGATTGCACAAGCAATCTCCAGCAAGGTCATTAACAGGGCACAACTGAAAATATGTTCTCAACCTCCTCTCAATACATGT